TGTAGCTGCATTTAGTTTCACCCAAATTCTTGAAAATGGAGTTAAAGTTGAAAATGCACATTAGTTAGTTCAAAACAGTATTAGTAGGATATTGCAGCCTAAAAGTTAGTAAACTGATCAGGATTTAACTCCAGAATTGTAGGGATTTTAGGATCATCCTGCTAACCACTGTAGGCCATGCTGGTTTGTGTAGATAAAAGGAGAGAGCTGTACGTGATGATTTACCCTGGTTGTACTTGTTGCCTTCTTTCCCTTCCCCTCCTCTCCAAATTATGGTTCCATATAAGATCGATTAGTCTAAACTGCTGCTCATTGGGTTTAAGAGGAACAATTTTCTGCAGCTCCTTCACACTGGTTTGAAAGGAAAAAAATGCCAAACATTCTGCTTAATTAAGACCTAAAGAGGCGGTGCAAACTTTTGATGATTAATTGAAGCATGCTTTAGACTGATGCATATTTAGTTATTATAATGTGATAATTTTATCTTGTTATACAAACTGCTCCCTTTGGGAACATGATTTAACACTGCAAACACTCCGTGTTTATTGCATTGTTCATTATGAAAAATGCACAGGCTAAAAGCCACAAGGAGATGTATCTGAACAGTATCTGTGCAGCGGATGCAGGGAGTGCTTTTTCCACCTGTAATGACACCACCCAGGGGCAAAAAACCATAGTATTGGAACTCCCACAATAGCTCTCCCTATGAAGAGTTGAGAACTCAGAAAAGCAGAGGCTGGAAGTTTAGGTCTTGTGCTGTATGTGGAAGGAATATGTCTTTCTATTACCTGGTGTAATTATGGATTTTTTGCTGAAAACTCTCCTGTTACTCTTTGTTTCTGTGCCAGCTCCTCTTTGTCTCAGCTGTATGAGTACCCGTGCTACCTGTTGCGTGACAGATCCGAGAGTATGCTAAGCATAAAGTCATGAAGTCACAAGCCCAGATGGAGAAAAAAAAGTATAGTTGTTAAAAAATAGTTTCTTTCACTTCAAAATGATCTATACCAGGACTTGCAAATGTTATTTTCATACTTTACAGACATGTGTCAGCCTAGCTATGTGAGTCCTGAAATTGATGGTGAATGATCTTCATCAGAAGAGCTGCTCCAGCGAGAGCTCACATGATGGATATAGGCATGCTGTCAGGATGAGCTCATGTTACTCAAGCGGATATGCTAAGCTACACTGCCAGCAAAAGTTTATCTGTGAGCAAAGGAGAACACTGCCGATGTAGTGTACTGGGGTAATTACTGTGGAGAAGCTTTCGTAGTGCAGACCTAATCAGAGAAAAAGATTAAAGATTCGAGACAGATAAGCAGCCTCAAACTACTGGATTTGAAATTCCCTGCTTCCTTGCTGCAGTAGGTTCTTCTTGCTGAGTGCTCTAGGGATGGGAATTTGATACATTTTCCTGAAAGGAGGACAAGAATCTGGTAAAGTGATTTTTAAAGAATTTGGCCTTAGGAGACAAAAGTCTGTGAAAAAATGAGAGGAGTCTTATCTTGAATGGAAGATTTGAATTACTGTCTTTCGGATTATTCCAGTTTGTGTTTAGCAAAAGACAGTGGCTAAACCACCATCCTTTGGCATTCCTTATTTGCACACAATCTTAATTTTTTTAAGGTACCACTTCGCACTGCTGTGGATTGTAATGGTAGAAATACATGGACTGTTACTTTTCCGTTAATGTTGCAGTCCTCTTTTTCAGTCATTAAGCTTAAAACGCTGTCAGGAAACATCCCTATTAGTTAATTTCACAACTTCTGCTCAGATCTCTACTGCAACCAGTGTCAAGAAGGAAGGCACATGATCGGATTGGGGCCTTTATCCTTGCCCCCAGCTGTCATCCACACCCATAAGCCATAGGGCATGGCTCTGGTCCTTCTCTCTGCTGTTCTTAGCTTCACTTTGAACCTGAAAGAAGGGGATCAGGTTTAGAGCAAGTCTTCCTTCCACTAGGCTGCACAGGACTCTTGGTGATGGTCCATAGGGAATTAGTCATGTAATATTGGATGTTTTCTTTCTTCACCTGCTAAATTGCTTTACAAGAAGTTAGAGTTGCATCCAAAAATTTACTTGGGCAAACCTACACCGGAGGGTACAAGGGTGACTTAAAAAGTGACATGCTAGTGTACTGTTCCAGGGACCACGTGCTCTGAAGTACTGTTGTTTCCTGGCTGCTTTACGTGGGTACACTCAGCTAATCCTTTTGTAGCCACATTCCTGAGGAAGAATGGAGGAGGCATCTAGTTTTATTTTTACTGTTTAGTATTAAAAGGACTGTATTGTATATGACCATTCCCTGCTGAGTGGGGAAGAAGATAGTGGAAAAGAGAAAGAATTCAAGTTCTGTGTATTTAGGCAGACTCTTTCTCTTCCTTTCTCCCTTCCTTCTTTCAAAATGATAAATATTTTCATTGATGTTGAAGATGCCTTCTGGATATCAGTTGTCTCTTCCTGGAGGTGCAGACAGCAGCTGGAAGTAGTTTGTGGACCATTCTCTGCTGGTTTATTGACAATCAGATCCATTGCTACAGGTGAAGCAATGCTACTTTAAAGAGTTCACAGTGGGGTGGTGGTGAAGTTCGGCTGGTTAGGGCATGGGAAGGCAACAGCTTGACAGGGTAGGTGCCTCTCCTCTCTCTTCTCCTCTTCTTGACAGGGATTGGGAGGAGGTCTTTGGCAGAAGGAGGTAGATTGAGCCTTACCTCCAGCAGAGGTGTGTGTAATGTGACTTTGCCATGTAAACAGTTGCTGCTGCTGGGATGCTGTGTAATTGAAAGTGAACAGTTGTGTGGTCTTTCTCATCACCCATGGGAGAGAGTTCACGGGTGTCGATGAACAGGGAGTTGAATGGTAGCTGCGGTGCTTCCCCCATGAAGTCACACATGGAAGTCCCTGAGAATCCCAGTGGTGGAGCTCTGTGATGCTTCTCCTTAAAATCTGTGCCCCAGACGAGCCAACCTGCTTCAGAAAGAGGTACTCCAGCACCTACTTTGCCAGTGAACTCTCTTTCAGCTCTGTAATTTTCTTTTTTTTTCATTTATCACAGTTACTTTTGCCAGAAATGAAGGCTGTTACAAAGGTATCACTGGTAGATCTTCTGTTTTCCCGAGTTAAAATACTTCTTATCAGTAGGAGAATATACATTGTTGTTATCTGAAACAGGAGGTTGCCATGTGTTTCCTTTGGTTCACAGGATCTTCTGTTGTTGTGATACATTCAAAGGGGCAAGCTGAGTCTGTAAGGAATCGGTTTATTATGTTTCCAAAGTAGCTGAATCAGGACACCTTTGTAAAAGCTTAGTACTTCAAGTGTCTCAGGGTAAAAGTGGTGGGAAGAGCTCTGGGGCTGTGCTGGAGTAGGTAGCATCCTGGCCAAAACTGGTCCAGAGTGAAAGCTGTGACAGCACTGTGCAACACCACCGTAACAGCACCCTGCACGTCTGGCTGAGATTAGAGCCAGCTCAAGGGCCTTCTTGACCCTATAGATGGCTAGTGATAATTTTGGCCAAATTGTTTTGATTTCCCTTGATGTTCAGTATATGAAAGCATTTATAAGATTGGCAAGACCCGCTCTGAAGGGCAAGTCATAAAACACGTTAAACACAGATCTGTGTTATAACTTAGCCTTAAATACAGGTGTAAAGGTAGGCAGTCTGATTAAAACTAAAAAGGTCATTATTTTATGTTGTACAATTTTATTTGTAGCTATAAATCATTGCACAATTTGTGGAAGGAAAAAAGTTATTAAACTGGCAATATTTATTCCGTTAAGGTGAATAAAATGCAGCACGTAGTTCTGAGTTATGGTAGACGGGGAAAGGAGCCAAATCACTCTGCTAAAAATTAGTTTGCCAATAATTTTACAGAACGATGACAGCGTAGCTTCGAAAACAAATCCTTTATAGGGAAATGGGATGGCTGCATGACAGACTCTCTGAGCTACGAATTCTCCACAGCTCATGGACCAGGAATTGCTTTAACAATTAGTCTTTGGGGATTTTTTTTTTTTTCCCCAGAAGTTAGACAATGGCTGCTGTCTGTAACTGAAGGGCCACTCTGTATCATAGACTGGACATAAGAACTGAAGAATTCTGAGTTTTAAGTCAGAAAGATTCCTGCTAACTTACTGTCTTGATCTGTTTAGGAGGCTTAACTATTCACTGCCCCATCTGTGACATTGGGGTGGGAACGATGACCACACAAGGATATCGCTAGCACTTCAGTAGTAAGGTCTGGGTTTTTTTTTTTTTTCACGTGGCAGAAGGCAAACACGCCACATTTGTAACACACGTTAAAGAAGAGCTTGAGACAGACTCAGGAATTCTGAATTAAAATTTGACTGATGAGCATGAAGACTGGAAAATAACCTGGCAGACTTTACCACAGTGCTGCATCTTCCTTCTTGCTCAGGTCCGTGTTTCTGTGAGTCCTGCATTCACACAAAAGCTCCCTGTTCTGCACGCTGGTCATTATTTAGAAACAACACTGAGAAGGGGTATTTCATGTTCCTTCTCATTTGGAAGAGGGCTTTTATTAGAGACCTGCCTTGGTGCAGTACCTTCTGGGTGTGTGTTACCACCTTGCTGAGCAGAACATCTCAGGGGCTTGCTCCAACAGGCTGCAAATAGCAAGAACAAAGCAGCAATACTCATTAAGCCTCTAGTCTTGGTTACTCGTGTAATAAAAGAGTTGTGCACTCTTAAACATGCTAAAAAGCTCTCGAGATTTCCAGAGCTTTTCAGCAGTGCACCGTTTCTTAAGCTAATAATCTTCTCCAGCCATCTGAGGAGCTTTGCCAATCTGCTGAGCCGGGCTGGCAGAGGTCACCGGCTGCCTGAGGACAAAGCTGGGGGTCACAGGCATGCACAGTTCTGCTCTCAGGCAGCGAGGAAGTTAGAAATAAGGTGAGCCAGTGCTATCTGAGAGTAAGTGTGCAGATGTCTGAGGAAGGTGTTTGCATCTCATGTAAACATTGTTCTTATATTTTTGTTGTAGAAGATGATGTGTCAAATGTACAAATAATGTGTGCCTGGTGCCAGAAAGTTGGAATCAAGCGCTATTCCCTGAGTATGGGAAGTGAAGTGAAATGCTTCTGCAGCGAGAAGTGCTTTGCAGCTTGCCGAAGAGCATATTTCAAGAGAAACAAGGTAAGAGGAATAAGGAAAGATATAACCTACATAGACATAGCTTTAATCAGGCCCAGCCTGCCTCTCATTTAGCATCTAATAGAAGCTCTTTTCTTTTGTTCTCTCTATTTCACCTAGTCCCTCCACTTTCCATCTGTATTGTCTGTTGGACTGTCAGCCCTTTACTAACCCTGTTTCTTTCAGTTTCCTTCAGCTCCATGCTTGGGTTTGGTGAGAGTCAGGGAATTTAAACACTAATAAGCATTAACGTAAAAGTCCCAGTTTGGCCTTAGAGTCTCAGGATACTTGCTACATAGACACAACTAAGAGGAGGGTGGAAATAGAGTAGAGGAGGGTTGCGTATGACAGTGTCACTAGGTCCCATGGCACTGGTGTCGTGACCAGTGGGTTAATGGTTTTAGGGCCTAAGTCTGGGTCCCATCACCATAGTGGCCGTCTTCCCACTGCTGCTAGTGAGTGCTAGGGTCCTTTTAAAGTGTATCATAAATTGTGGTTGCTGCAAAATTCAGACACTCTGCAGTTTTTGGGTTGGGGTAAGCAGTGTTAGAACATGTAGAGTAGCGTGAAAACCCCTCCTACTCAATTTAAATATAACTGTCTAAAATTAGAATGCAATCCCAATATTGAATGTCTACAAAAATTGCTGTAATCACTGAAGTACAGTGCCTGAAAATGCCCTCTAGGTTATTTCAGCAGCTGTTTTTCTGCAGCAGAATGTGCAATATGTCATTTAAAGAAAAGTCATGAGGGAACGCTCCAGCATTTTTAGTTGTTGAAAAAGTAGCTGTGTCCTTTTGGTGCTTAATAGTATGAATCTTTGGGTAGCCTTTATTGGCTTAGAAATGTTTATCCTTCATAAACCTTTTTACATTTTGGTTTTCTAAATTATGCCATTTTCCCTCATGCTACAGAACATTCAAAGCCTGTCAAGTTCAAACCGAATTTAGGCCTCTAAATCTTGTCTTTTACATCTGTGGTAATAACAAATTTGTACATATGGATCTTAGATTCAAGATGCAATGCTGTAGCAAATTACCCTCCTCTATAAATTTGGGTCACATCATTATGAAAAAAAAAAAAGGAAAAAATGCCTGAAGAATTAGGTTGCAAAAATCAGTATAGTGGAATTTTAGTGGCAGTCTTGGCGAATCAAGCTCATAATGTCTACTGGAGCAGACAGGCAAGTTAAAGTCCTGTGAGTCTTCTGCAGGGAGTGGTGTTTACATCCTTTTTGCCAAGAAAAAGTGCAGAGGAGTGAAATACATGCTCCTTAGATGCTCCTCATTTGAAAACGAGTTCCCGTGGATGTAGATGTATGTGCACACATGCACACTTATGCACGTGCAGTTCAACGTGCCTTACAGTTTGTAAGACAGTCTAGGGTGACAAGATCCAGGTCACCATCAACTGATGCTCCTGTGACTTTCAGGCACAGATTTACACGGGTAAGGTAGATCACAGTAATGGAGGCATTGTCAGTGGTCCTAGTTAGGTGGTCCTGTGTGTCCAGCAGGGACAAGTACCAGGTAATTTGGGGGACCTTGGGGATGCAGATGAAAGGTCAACCAGTTCATGGTGGATTCTCTTTCATCTACAGCTTAGGTCCTGAAATAGAAGGTTTAGATCCCTTACGAAATGAAAACAAATACATGTTAAAATAATGCATAGGTGTACTTCAACCTCTACTAACCCATGAGTAGCAGGATTGGGTATTAGTTTATGGCCATAAATTCAATCAGGCAATATATGAAAAAGTTCCCTTTTACCTGACTTACGATTTATTACCTGTGTGCTTTGTTGAAGGCTTCCTTGTCCTTGTGTTATGAGAAAGGATGAATTAGAGCATCTTATTCCCCCTGGTTCCCTTTCCTACACCTCTGTTAACTTCTTCTGGAAGCTAAAGGATGCTGAGTATTATCCATCCAGAAAGCTCTCTATGTTCATTATTTTGTATATATCTAAATAACCGTAGATGTTCCTAATGTTTTGATGTACCATCATATCCCAGTGAAATGTCCTATTTTTTACTAAAGAGGCTGCAAATTAACAAAATGTCATGTGGGAGGACTTGGCAAAACATGGTGAGATAACATATAATTGATAAGATGTTGGTTGCTGCATTGGCGCCACTTCAAAGCTAAGCCAATGAGTCAAATTTTCTTCTTCTTTGCACCTGTGGAATCTGGAATTGCACAGGATCTGACCCAGCAGGGGAAATCTGGAGCTGCCCCATGCACGTGTATTTATGGCATTAGATGATCAGGGGCCAGAATATTTAGGAGCTGCTGCCGTTAATTTAAGACAGGTACAGTAGCATTCGGCAGACCCTTGTGCTTCTTGCTTTGCACTTCACCTGTCAGTAACAGAGCGGAGTCTTGAGGTACAGGATCAAAGGAACAAGGCTGCCATAGTTTCAGATTTAACTGCTGACCTTTAATCTGTTACTACCAGCCTGACAGCGTACTTGCCATCTCCATGAACCTATGCTTATTTATGTATTTGAGAAGTAATGCCACTCTACGCTTTCTCATTTTTCAAACAGAGTAGTAAAATAGTCACGTTTCACCTGCCTTAGTATGTTTTAAACAGCCGATCTCTGCCACAATATCGTGTTGTATTACGTTAAATATGTACAGCTGCTGCATTTCTGGGAGCTGATAGGACTTTGTGGTCGCTTCATTTAAGGCTTGAATTTCCTAATGGATCCTGTTAAGCAGTCTTCCTTCATTCCCTTAGGTAAGAAGTGCTGTAATAAGCACTTGCTTAAAATGATAGGACTGTTCAAACAATAAAAGAATAAGTCATCACTGATGTGTCGAAACGGCACTAAGTAGGGCTGCAAATTATCCATCCCTGAACGCCAGTTGCCGTGTCCAGAATTAGGACTTTCGTCGTCATCCTAATGACAGAATCTTCTCCCGTACACCATGCACGTCAAAGCGATGCATGCCCACAGATTCCCAGCTGGGAGAACACTTGGCATGAGACCGCCCTGAAGTGCCCCTGGAGAGCAACGGAAGTGCTTCAGAAAGCCCCAGGTTAGCTGGGCATGGAGTGCTCCCAACCTCTAGCTCCTTCCCAGCCTGCTCCCATAGTAAGTTTAGCAGGAGTAGCAATGCACTGGATTAAGCCAGTACCTTGCAGGTCCCCGGAGTGTTTGAACCCAAGCAGTTTAGTCGGAGGTGCATCCTTCCTTGGATAGAGAGCAGCTTGGATAGAGAGCAGCTCCGAGGA